CCCCCTGGTGTTTGCCATCGGGGTTGGGTTTTCGTCGTTTAGCAACGACGTTGTAAAACAAGCCGATCACTCCGTGAGCTCGGCAACCAGGTTACCGGGTTTTTTTGCTTCTGATTTTTGTTTTTGCGGCAACCATAATGGTGGTCGAGTAGATGATGTTGTGCGGGGCCGAGAACCCTCACTCCGCGCATAGGGGATGATCGCGCCACGTGTGTGTTAAATTGATCAAGCACCCTCGAGGCAGTTTCACAGTGCTTATAACTGTCTCTGGAAGTGAAAGCACCAGAAAATATATAAAGTCATACGCAGCTATCATCCGTACGCAAGGAAGTTAGCACAAGATGCCAAACACCCTTAGCAGGATGCAGCGCACCCTTCATGCGACTCGCCGCATACCTCACGGTGCTTCGCGCTTGGTGATGTGAGAGCCTGGTCCGGTGAGAACCCAGCCTGCTCCGTCCCGGCTTTGTAGGGATGCGAGATCAATGGTCTAACGACTACGGCATGCACGACGATGAGACCCCCCCCCCCCCCCCCTCAGTCAACTTTTTTTTTTTTTGCGCGCATACCATTACGTGCAATCCACAGTACCTCTACCGGGCCGCTCTGGAAAAGTAAAAGTAAACACTATTAACATCTCGTGAACTATAAATTCTCGTAGCACTGCAATAGGGCACCACTTGTAACCTTTGGGTAATCCTTACGATGAATAGTTGGCCAGGTTGTGCAAGGTGCACCTTTATTAGAGGTTGCGCACTGTTTGCAAGTCGGTTCGGGGCCAAGCTGCCAACGGTAATGCAAGGTGCCCTTTCGTGGAGGTTGGCGCACTACTGGCTGTGCACAAGCCGGTTAGGGAAGCCGGTTAGGGAGCAGGTTGCCGATGATATTGTAGTGTAATGTATACTTTTCTTGAAGTTTGGCACTACATATGAACAATCCGACTATGTAGCGAGCAGGTTGCCGATGGTAGTGCGAGGTGTACCGTTTCTTGGAGGTTGTGCACTTTTTTAGAAAGTAAAACACTTTGTACCAGCCGGTATTTCAACACGGTTGCTTTTTTTTTGTTTGAGCGGATTCTATTCCCTCTGCACCACTTGTTTTTTGCATTTCATTTTTTCTTTCCCCTGTTTTTTTTATGTGGTTGTATCGAATCACTACAATATTTTCGTCAGTACACATGTACCGAGCAAAAGCCCAGAAACAACAGTACCTCGTGCCTGTTTTTCGCACCTTGCTACTAGCTCCAGGTTACACCCATCTCCGCCCGCGGCTTATCATCTGGAGCCCGGGGTCGAAAGCATCCGGAAGTTACATGGACAAAGAGCGAGAAACAGACAATGTACATATGTCAAATGAAAACAACACGTACCATCTCGAAGTATAGTACTTTTATTTTTATTTGATTTTCCCCCCACGACAGCATGCCCTCGCCCACAACCACCAACGATCGATCACGCAGATGATCCAGAATCCCCACAGAAAACTGCCGTTATTGGGTGATGAGGGGAAAATGACGTAGCCAGAGACAGCAGCTACACGTTGCGACAGCAGTACTCGCCAAGCGCACTTGTAGAAATGACCGTCCTCTCCCAACACGAAATAAAGCACTCCCCCCCTCGCCGCCCCCAAAGCCACAGTTCTGATCAAGAAAACGAGCTGTCTGAGACAGAGCCAGCTGGGACAGCCATGTACTCCAAACACAATGAACCTCTACTCTCCTACACCAAAGATCACACCTCCGCCCTCCCCTCCCCATGAGCCACAGTTCGTAGAAAGAAAAAAAAGGCCCGGGCCGCGAAGACAAGAGGTAGCAGTGACAGACTCCAAAACTCTTGCAGACACAGTACGAAAACACCTGGCTCTCTTCCGACGTGCTAGCGAGAGCAGCAAGCACATCACAGCATTCTACGACCTAGAAGAAAACATGGCTGGCGAATGATTATAGTTCGTGAGATATCTGCAGGTCTCCCGATGTGCATTTGAAAGCCTGTCAACCCCCTGCTCATCTCTGTCTGCAAAACAGGCGAACCTGGAGAAAATTTCTGAGGCCAAGGCCGGGACTATCGAGGAGCACTTCGGTCGGGTGAAGGAGACCGTTTTGCAGCTGCAGGCATTTGGAGAGCAGACAGGACTCATCGTGCCGGAGACGATGACGGTCGATGCGTACGTGGAACAGCACTCGGGGCTGCTAGAGCCGGAACCCCTGGACTACAAGCACTCGGTCTGGTGAGCCCCTTGGGCGACTCTCGTTGCAGCAGGCATTGTTGCAAAGCGTACGCCTATCTTCGTGGGAACATAACCTTGGAAAAATATCTCCCCAAGATTTTCTCGCAAGAATTGTTTGGTGGGACATTTCGTTGCACTCTCTCTGGGGGAAACATGTTATTGTTGAATTGAAAAAGGCGGTTGTTGTTTGCCACAATCTCGTGCATAAACAGAATTGTTCCATTGCTGCCCCAACGGCTAAGATGGGCACCAACCCGACAGCCGATGACAATCATGCACGTCTCTCACTACGTAGTGAGGGTACCGGGGCCAAACCTTCAACGTTGTTATCTGCACTCGAGGACCTATATCGGGTGCAAGCGTATTGGGTGTGGGGTGATTCGGTCAAGAGATACGAAGCGTCGCACACGATCAAGCTCTGTTAGAACAAACCCCTGCCTTTTTCCCTACATGGCAGTAGAGTGCTTTTGCGAACGGTCCATCAACAGACAGCAACTGTTGGTGTCACCAGCGATGCTTTTGTCAAAGGATAGAAGCATCCCACAACTGCCTACTTCCATCCGAACGAGGACTGTTTGTGGAGGTTGCAGCGTCGAGGGAAAGTATGCGCTTTGTCAGTAGAGGCCTTGTAGCGCGAGATCGAGATGCATGAAAACCACGTTTGTGAGCACCATCTCCCCATAGAGATTTCGGTGAACAAGCCCAGTAAGCTACATGCTTCAGTTGCGAATCGCTACAGCTCGACACAAGCATCACATGCTCAAAATTGCCAGAGCCTACCGATATAGCGTGTGAGTGGCGCATGCCTGAACAGCAGCTGAAGGCAGCCAGAAAGAACTAAAGGCCTCGTAATGTGTTGCTAGATGCAGCGGTGGCCCGAATTTGTACCAAACTGCCGGATCTTGTGGGTTCGTTGGCGCATCGACGCCGTTCTCCACGTGTTCATCCCCAATGGGCAAATGAACTTCCCGCGAATCATGCTGGTTTTCCGGGCGTTTCGTAGGCCTAACATGTGGTAGAAGTTTGACCCACCACACGAACTGATTTTTCGATCTACGGCCCAAAACATTTATCAAAACCACGCTTGCCCCGTTGTTTTTATAGTCTTCTGCATGCTGAGTTGCTGTTGAGCCATCCCTCACTCTACGTTCAAGTTTGGGTTGTCTTCTTCGAAACGCCATTCCTGGAGGTATTTTTTCCGTGAGGAGCCGGGTGTAGCCCTGACATGCGCTCGACTTAGAAAAAGCAGCAACAATCATCATGTGGTACGTCTCCTCAAAGGAAGCCTGCATGTCCACCGGCGTTCACCATTGGCAGGTAATCGACTACTTTTTTTTAGCGGGGCGCTGATGTTTGAAACCAATCAAGCCTCCTCGCGATGTTCCACACCCTGCCCCGTGCTCTTAAGGTTCATCCCGGAGTTCGGCGCGGAGGCGCCAGAGGCCGGCAGTACCGTGGAAGGTCTCCTCAACCGCTCGTCGCTCATGGATGTAGCGTTTCGCGGAATGCAGCGTCAGCACAGCCTTATCTTCATCTCGGCCTTGGAGGACCCTACTCCAGAAGTGGTGTCCTATATCGACTTTCAGTCGTACCCCGATTTTAACATGTCCCACGAGGGCTATCTCAAGTGGGGCGAAAACGCGGTAAGCGCAAACGAAGAATACACCAATGTCATGAGTAGGACCTGCCTCAGCAACTACAGTAGTTGCGCACGGAGCAATGACGCTCAAACGTATATTCGTTCAATAGGAGCGTTGACGATTCTCACCCGTTTCTCGCCGCCGTTGAGGGTTGATATTTGATTTCTCCGTATTCTCCTTTTGTCTCTGTTTCTTCCGCTCTAAGGCTGAAAGTTCAGTACTTTTGGGATTTGCGCTAACCGTTTCATGTACATTTGCACAAGTTCGAATGTCCGATCTCGTCTAACCTAGTGTTTGGCATTGTTAGCTGTCTCTGAGCGAGACGAGAGAGGCTTCAGAAGGACAACGTCCACACGAACCATTATCCTTTTCACATGGCTGCGCTGCATGCCACCTCTTTGCGCCGCTCTCTAGCGTGCGCAACGTGACTAGCTTGGATCTGGTGACTCCTATTTAGCGCTGCTGTCGCAATGCAATATCGCATGTAAATTTTTGCCAGTTATCGCACTGGAAGAAACATTCGTTTGCGCGTTCACGATGAACTTCAAACATGCCACCGCCTGTTTTGTGCGTACTCCTGTTGAACCGGACCTTTGTTGCAACGGAAATGATCAGACTTGTGACTACCGGTACGCCACGCCTGGTACCTTCGAAGGGATGCACTTCGAGCCGCGCTGCAGGCCCTGGTACCAAGACGCCCTCGACGAGGGCAATACTGGGTGCATCATCACTAACCCGTATGTTGACGCACACTCCTTCAAGCTCATTCTAACGGGTGCGGCACCCGTGTTCAACCCCTCCGGCAACCTTCTGGGAGTGGTCGGCTTGGACGTCAACTCTTCGGATATCGAGAGCACCATCAAAAACTTAACTATTATCGACGGGGAGGGCTACGCCTATCTGCTGGCCCCGGGAGGGGAAGGGCAGGTAGCCGTTCACAATTCCTTGGAGGACTACGGGCAAGAGCAGTACGTATACGATCTCGAGTCTGTGGTCGAGGAAGAGTTCGAACCCATTTTGACAAAAATGAACGAAAACTGCAATGGGTCGAAGGAGTACACGATGAACGGGGAGACATGGCTGCTGGCGTGGAACCACGAAACGGTAAGCAGCTCGTCAACGGTAGCGGCGGCAACTTCGGGGACGGATGCTGATGAAGTGTGCGATGGCTTTATCGTTGTCGTTACCGTCAGCAAGTCGGCCCTCTTGGAGGTGAGTGACAGGTGTTGTTTCTGTCGTCAAGAGATGGCCTGGCGTTCTTTGTGCGCAGACATCACATTTGTATGAATCTGTCGGCGTTGATTGCTCTCCTATACCAATCGCTCGCGACTTACCTGAAACGTGCACAATATGTGACTGGTCGTGGGTCTTGTTTCGTTTCTCAACCTCCTACTGTCTTCTGTACGATAAAAGCGATGCGCCCACGTGAAGCTGGCAACCAGCATAGCACAGCGATACATATGGTCGTTGAGCTGGATCCGGTTTGAATTCAAGAGTCATGGACGGCATCCGTTTCGGCTTTTTCCACATCAGACTTGCATTACACATTGGTCACTGAGTTCACCTGACCTAGGCCGAAGCCTGGAGCCAGTGTCCGTCGTCTGCGATGCCTGTGATGCTCGTGATCATGGGTTGGATATTGTAAGGGGAATTTCCAGCCTATTTTTCGTATCTTCCAGGTTGTTTTCCATGTTGGAACCACACTTTTCTGTGCCCTGAGCCGTGTTGCCCATAGATCAACCGCTCTGCGTCCATCGGATGTATCTGTGATTTCCGTTGCTAAATTACCGTGATAACTGGCATTGTCATCAGGCATTCTCAGAGACGGAAGACGATATTCGCTATTTCGTCGCCCTGGCGAGCATCATCATGGCGGCGGTGCTGCTGGTGATCGGCTGCTGCACCGGCGGATCCGCCCGCATCTTGTCAACAAGCATTACCGAGCCCGTCAATCAGTTGGTGGATGTTGTTCATGCATTGAACCGGCGTGATTTCGCCGAGAAGGTACGTGTGCACACATGCCTCGAATTAGCACCGGTGGCGTTCAAATGTAGCAGTAGCAAGTGTTGACGTGGAAATTGGTCGAAACAGAGGCCGCTCGCCGTTGAAAGCGCAAACGTAAACTTTTGACTCCTCGAGCGCTTGTGTGCTATAACATACCTTCTCAATATTGTTCTCCATTTGGGTTTCGCAGTGCGCACCAACACGTCTTTGAGACCGTTTCGTTTTCGTGGCATGCACTTGTGTTGAAGGCCCCCGGGACGTGGATTGTAAACGACGTGACGTCGCCCGAGGTGGAAGAACTGATGACGGCGTTCCAGGCCATGACCACCGTCGTGAAGTTCGCCAACATTAGGGTAAACCACGGCGACATTGACGTGGCCCAACAAAACTACATTGAAGCCAAGGTCCTCTTCCTGAAGCTGGGAAACGAGCGGGGAGTTGGCATCGTGCATAACAACTTGGGCAGTGTGTACACGCTCCAGGCGCGCGAGTTTGCTAAGCAGGCCGCCGCGGAGACGGACAAGGCGAAAGCTGACCTTCTCATGGAAAAGGCGGACGAAAAGTTTTACGATGCAGTGACGAACTATCAGGTAAGCCATCAGGACTGGGGCGCAGGAATTGCCGCCTCGTTTTTCGTCCTCATTCGAGTGTTGTCTGACTCGAATCTATTTCTGACGCGCTGGCAGCACGCCAACCCACCCGACGGAACTCGTGCATCGTTTCATGTCTTTTTTCGCTACTGGGGTGCTTTGCATCCCTGCACAAACTTGACAATAACGTTGTATTTTTCCTACCCACGTTTGAACGTGTTGTTTATGTGTTTTTAGGTGGCGATCGATGACGCCTTCTTGCTGTGCGCAGGACAGGATCAGATTCACGAAGACGACAGCGACAACGGCGGCATCGACGACTACGCCAACAGAGGAGGGGAGTTCAAGGAAGGGCAGCCACGACAGTCTGGTTCAAGGCCCGACGTCGAACAGGGGTCTGGAGTTGCAGGCGGGTCGAGGATCATGAGTAACCATGGCTATCGACACGTGAGCGCTCGCAGGGCTAGCAGCACCTACAGTGTCTCTCGCCTATCCTTGGACAACCCCAACTCGGCGCTCGCTCTCGACCTCCAGCTAGCGAACCGGAAGCTAAACCTTGCTTTATGCCTGGCCACCAAAGGCTTCAGCGGTGTGCCCTTGGGGAGACCCCCCGACCTCAACGCGGTCAATCACGCCAGACGGCTCCTAAACGAATGCGCCACGCTGGCGGCGAACAGGAACGATCCCAAAGGTGACCAGCGACATGTGGAGTGCCTCCTCGAAGTCGCGAAGCTCGAGCGCCAGGCGGGTCGCAGCAAAGAGGCCTTTGAGGCCCTGGATACTGCCCAGCGCGTGGTGATGGATTCCCAAGGTGTTGGCGGCGCGGGCAGTGCCCATCGCACGGCCGGCCTCGGCAACCCTGTCAGTATTGGAATCGCCGTCCCTCCGCCGGAAGGAGTCTCACTGTCCGCGCCCTTGGCGGCGCTTAGGCAGCAGGTCCTGGTGGCGCGTGGGGAGCACTGCGTCGCTTCCGGTAAACCCAATGAAGCCATCGAGCACTGGACGGATGCTGTCGTCGGTTGCGGAGACAGAATGGACGTGGTTGCGGTACGAGGTGCATTGATGGGTCTCCGCAAGCTGGCCGAGAACGGGTTGAAGTTCCCGAAGACGCTCATGGATGCCCTGGGCTTTTCAGATTTGGAGCCAAACCGCACGGTGGGCGTCGATCAGCTCGTGGCGGCCGTGGACGAGGCCCTGGCAAAGCTAGACTCCGTGGCGAAGAAGTCCGGGACAGCGGTGCCGGCCGTGGAGGCGACCAAAGTTGACCTGTGCTTCGTCATGGACTGCACGCGCTCGGTAAGTCGACGAGGAGCGCTACGCTGGTGTCATTTGGCTATTGTCTTGGTCGGAGGTGTTATAGATATGGCCGGATGGAATCAACTAAGGGACCCGCTCTCGATTATCCCACGCCGTTGTGCTTCGTGCGGTCGATGTACCTTAGTTTTATGCTTGGCGACGGAAGTCGTTGGAGTTTGCTTGGGAGGAATAACACCTTCTTACCGTCTTTCCTGGTTGTCGAGAAGGCCCCCACAATGAATACATTACGTATAGAAGGGAGACACTGCACAGAAGATTTGGATGCCAAGTCAGCGCGCGCATGGGGGGTGTTGTTGCCGTGCTATTTTCTTTTGTTCAGGAGAGGTGAGGTGAGACGTAGGAATTTCTGGAATTGTTGGGTGTGTCTCGTACTCGGGTTTTTCCAGCCTGACCACCACGTGCACAGAGCTGACCGTGCGGACCTGCGGTGGAACATGTCCCTGCTGCTTCATTGTTGTTTTTCTCAATTCGTCTGCGAATGCCAGATGCAGAGTTGGATCGAACAGGCAAGAAGCAAGTTGATTGACATCATCGAGCAGGCGAAGAAGGATGTGGACAACCTTGAGCTCCGCGTGGCCTTCGTAGGGTAAGTCAAACGCATGAAATATGGTCGAAGTAGTGGAATATGCTACAGATAACACCAACAAGGCAGCAGGCCCGACATTGTTGGGCTTGTCCTCCCTGTTCTGTGGACGTGTTGTACGATTTTGAGACGGTATTGTGTTTTCGTAATTTTCTAGGCCCATCCGATGGTTGTTTTCATTGGCTGCCGAACTCAGCTTTTCCCGGGCTGTGCGTCGGATTTCGACATTGATGTACACGTATCCCTTGCCTTCCGCAGCCAGCAGTAACCAGATCTCAGGGAAACAACAAACAGGTATGATTTGACTACGTCATGGTACCACTGAAGTCGTACCAAATCCGTCCATTTTTTTGCTATTTTTCCCTCTCGTTGAACGGCGGCCGCTCACAGGTACCGAGACTTCGGAGACAAAGAGCGATGCGAGGGTCCTTACGACTTCCACACGGAGGACAAAATTCCCCAGCTTCTCGAGAAGCTGAATCGCATCAAGGCTACCGGAGGTATATCTATGCGCTTTGGCCAGTTGTCGTCAGCCTACACCCCGTACCCATCCGGGGGATCGGGGTGCTTGTTGCGAACAGCTGCTGCTGCTATATTCAATGTTTCGTCGGGTAGTCCACAACCCCCCGTCCCCCCTCCCCACGTCCCTCTCCTTCCTGTCTCCCTATGGTATTCGGTTTTTCTCCGGCAACCTAACATCACGTCACTCTGCATCACCGACCTCCACGCTGCCCACACCATAACCGTACACCGGTAGGCAAAGACGTGCCCGAGGACATTGCCGGAGGGTTGCAAAATGCAACTCAACTGTCGTGGGAGAGCCCCATCCGCCTATGCATGCTCATCGCAGACGCGCCGTGCCACGGCTCGATGTACCATAGCTGCAGGGACAACTACCCGACGGGCTGCCCGAAAGGACTCGATCCGTCCAAGCTGCTCTACAAGTTGCAGGTGTGTGAGCAGCCAAGTGCAACACATGTATACAAATTCCCACGACGGCGATCATTACTGCGTGTGGTGTGTCGTGTCGTGTTTTGAACCCTTGTTATCCGTGCTCTTGACCCGGGTTTTATTCGTCTCTTGGATACTTCGGGCTGCTGCTCCTCTGCGCATGCTGCTGCTGCTGCTGCTGCTCATGCTCATGCTGCTGCTTCTGCTTCAGCAGCAGACTTTTGCCACGCTGCATGAATGAATTATGTCGCCCATGGCAGACCTGCTCCAGACTCCATTCGTCTTGAAAGAATTCCCGCCCTAGTTTGTTCATTTTCGGGTGCGGAGACAGTTGTCTTCCATTTTTCTGGTAAGGAGGATAGCCCGTGTGGGTGCGAAGAATAGCTACTGTGAGAGTTACGGTTGAGCATCTTCTGAAAGGATGGATGTGGGCCGAATGATACTCGTTCCTTCGCCGGAGTTTCAAGATGAGCACTGCGTGCTGTAGACGTTGCCTGGTTTGTTGATTATACCGACAAGGGGCGTTTCGTCGAAAACGTATTCCACACGTTGCACGTCCGTTGCCTCTCGTTCCGTTGGCGCCCCCGTCTCAATTTATGCGTCATCCCGTTCCCCTTCTCTCCCCTTCCCTCCCGTTCACAAAATCAACCCGCAAACACCAACAATTTCCAGTACGAGCTCGGAGTGGATTTCTACTTCGTCCGCATCACTGGCATCACTGACAAGTGAGCAACTCTCGTTCGTCACGGTTATGCCGGCATCGCGTGCCTCAGACACATGATGCATTTCGCGATCGATAATCACATGGGTAGAAGCGCCCTCGACTTGGCACGTCTCTGTCTGCCGGTCCATCTGTCTGCGTGCGTGCGTGCGTGCGTGCCTGCCTGCCTGCCTGCCTGCCTGCCTGTCAGTCTAGCTGTTTGTCTCCTCTGCCTGTTGACCTGTTTTTTTGTTCGTCTTTGTGTCTCTAATCTCTTCATCCGATCATTTGCGCGGTGTAACTCATTGACCGATCGACCACTCCAGAATGATCAGTGTCCTTCAGAACACGGTGACGGGATACACTTCGGATCGCAACCACGCACGCCGACGGCCTCTCAAGGGCACCGCGAACACCGAGCCAAAGTTCATGGTGCATGACCTAGGCTGCAACGATCACCGTTTCCTTGACATCGTGGTAGAGTCCGTCAAGGCAAGCGCTGGCATCAACCTCCGCATCGAAGTTTACTGTTGACGAGGAGCAGAAGTTTTTCCAACGGCCGACAAGGATGCAACATTTGTTATGTTCGGCCCCATGCCCAAGGTAGTTATGAGGAGGAGAGCATCGTTATTTGGGCGGCGGTTAAAGTTGCATGGTTGTGAGGTTTCCGGTGCTTTACAAGTACAGAAACGAAGAGAAGGTGGGCACATATTTTCGACTTTGGCTCTCGGTTCATGTTTTGCGGTTTCGTATGTACGCACTCTGTCGCGATCTTTTGTGGGCTTGGTGCCGGAATCAGTCGATCAACACGATCGCAGAGGGCAATAACAGTGTGGGGTTACTACCTTGAGGCGTGATTCAGCGGGTGGGGGCACAAAATTTTGTCGAAAGTCAAACCCGGTGAATGGAGGGTAGGGCCCGCCGTCCTCTCTGGTGGATGTATGAAGTATTTTGTCGGGAAACCTTCGGGGAGTACCGAAGGGGAGGAGTTTCTAGGAGAAGAGTGTGCCGTAACGGTCTAGCCTGTCGCTTGAGTTGTAAGTCGGAGTTGCGAGGGATTAGTTCGATTTGCTGAGTATTCATTTCTGTGGCCCACTAAAAAGCGGTGTCGGTAGTAGATGTTTTGAGTACCAATGGACGAGCGGCTATTCCTGCCAGTACCCGAATTTGGCTCGACGGACGGAATATGGCAGGGCCAGATGCACACATACGAACCGATGTGGTGATGACATCAGCAGGTTGATCATGTGCCTCAAATATTGCAGCGGAAACGTAGGTCACCCTTTCCGTGAGTGGCATGCTTGATGGATGTAGTTGATCAGTGCATCAGACGTTACAGCGCAATTGGGTGAATTAAGATCACTCGTCCAGAAAAGCGGTCCTGTCAAGCAAAGACTGCTGTACAAACTATTCATGTTTTTGACGTTTATCTGGGGGGCATTCTCGTTGGATTGAGCGTTCCCAAGTTCTGTGGGTCATATTTGCTTGCCACGCTGCAGTGTTTGGCAAAAGCCCGATACTCCATTTTTTACCTTGCAGTAGTACAGACGAACCGCCGCGTAAGAACTTCTTTTATTCAACCTCTTTTATGTTGAGGCTCGTTTCTTGTTTTCTCTGTGGGGTAACCCACATCGACTACAATATTGCTGTTTTATTTTGAGAATATTTCAGTTGTTTTGGTCGAGTTCTTAAATTTGGTTCGTTTTGAGCCTGATTTTCTAGACTTGCAGGTTCTTAGGTGGTGGCGCGTACTGTATGGTGCATATTTTCAGCACTTTCCATTTTTTACTATATGCTACTATTGTTATAACAGTATCGTCGGCGTTGCGTATTGTGCCGGTGTGTGGAAGCCAGTAGCAACCGTAAGAGTTCCCTCGAATCCATGTGGGTGCGTTTCATTCGAGAGGCAAACGCATGAGGCGTGTGCGGCGAGTTTTTAATAGTTTAGTTTCTACCTTCTTCGCATGTGGCAACTTTGCCAGCTCCAGACTTGGAGGGCTATTATAATAATATTCGGAGTAGACTACGTGGTACATTTCAACTGCCTTTAGGTGGACAGCGTGTGCCAATGTGCCAATGAGGGCAATAATAATAATAATATTTGGAGTAGACTAATATATTTCAACGGCCATTAGGTGGACAGCGTGTGCCAATACTCCAAAGGGAAGAACCAGGACCAGTCGACATGCTCCAGTCACTTGGGGGCAACTGGGGGCCAATAAACAATGGGTACCAGCAGAGTGAATAAACTTCAACAATGCAACAAGTCATCATCTTCCGTATGAAAGGAAACAAGCCGCCGAACAGCCTTACAAGGCAGAATGCAGCGCACCCTCCACGTGACTCGCCGAATGCCTGGCGCTTCGCGCTTGTGATGTGTTAGTAGTCTGGTCGGTTGAAAACCGGGCGTGCTCCGTCCCGGGTAGGGATGAGAGGTCAATGGTCTGAAGACTACGGCATGCACGGCTATGAGTACACCCCCCCAAACCGTTGACGAATAGAGCCATCCCCTTAATCGTAGCTAGATTGTTGAGGGAACACACTGAGCAGCAAGGTGTACCTACAGCACGAACCCGCCTTCTCCGCACTTTGAAAAACGCCGCCTTTGTACATGCCCTCTCGTTCTCCCATCCTCTGACACCTACACTACGGGATAACTCTACACCCATCCGTGGTCTTCGCAGCTTAGACAGAGTTGCCCATTTGGTGCCAACATACGAAAAGAAGCTACGGCTCGTTTTCATGGAAAACAACAGTTGTTCGAGTTTGATCAATAAGCTAGAGCTGCACTAGATCGGCATCTACAAATAATTTAGCACCTATCGGGATACGCGCCGTTAGGGTGGTGTAGGTTCGAATTTGCTCTGACGACGCATGACACCGCAAAAACATGAAAGAATCGGCCCTCGGCCAGGCCTGCGCCAGATGGGTTCATAAATACTCGCTGTCGCCTCCACAGCAGCATTTAGTTGCTGCTGCCTGACGACCACCCCGGGTCACGTGTACGCTACAGGTTGACAGTTCCACAACCCCAAGAAACAATTTCGAAGAACACTTACACACGTAGAAAGACAACTGCTCCAACATGAACTCATTCGAGAGGGCTTGCCCCTACTAAAAGCACCCGCACCCTGACGATGACGTCTTGCGTGCTCTCTGCCTTTGGGTGGCATTGTCACATACCTTCTTGGTTTTGGAGTAGAGAGGCAGTCAGGTATGGTTTTCGAGGAAAACAACGGGGGAGCAGATCCGAGACAGTTGAACAGGGGATTCGCGGTCCTGCCTCACGTGCCGAGATGTGGCTTGGTTTCACCCCATCAGACGATTGTTTTCTGCAACAAAGAATCCCGTACCAAGGCCGCTGTTCGCTTGCAGTACTGTACTGCATCCATTCCGTTTCTCTTTTGGCAACCAACGTTCGCCGACAGTACCGCACCCTTTCTGTTCCTTTTCCAGCATCCCAAGAGGGCGTCAAAGGCGAAACCGCTCCACTCGTTCTCCGGGCTTTCCAACATCTCTCGTGGATAGCGCTCAACCGCTTGTCATTCAATTTCATTTTGGTGTATCAACAACTTGGGGGTCCACCGACCCCACATTCACGTGTCAGGCGCGTCGATGGTGGTACCGTGCAGGCACTCCATGTGAGGGTGACCGGTAGAGCAGTCCTCATTAAGAACGCGATTGCGGCACCTGTTTTGGGGGGGCAGGGCAGGGAGCGGGAGCGGAGGACGCGTTGGAATGTGAGGGCTTACGGCTCACCCATTCGTTGCTTGCCGTTGGCACTTAACCCTTGACCACGCATATTCACCAAGTTTGGGACGGACCATCGTCGTTCGGAATCTCCGGTTCGCTACCGACATCACCGTTGGTGCTCTCACCAGTGTCACCATGTTTCGATTTCGAACTGGGTGGGTGGAGACTGTGCTACTGTTTCCTGCAAAGCGGGGCATCAGGCACCCCCTCAATTTCGCGTTGTGATTGGAACATATTTGCAAGCTACAAACCGGGCAAACACGTAGCAATAGGTTTGGTGAGCTGTGAGGCGGAGGTGAACGAGAGGTACGCGCGATCAGGGCTCGGTGCGGGAACGCGGAGAGGATCTCTTCGCTCTGGCAGAGGGTAGGGCATTTCTGGGGCCCTCAGTGTTTCAGGATGTCTTCATGGCGATCATACCCCTCTGGTCAGTTCCCACCACACAACAAACGTTTCGTGTCAGCCACTACAGTAGTTCCATCCTGGATACAGGGCTTTTCGAAACACGGGGATGCGGCCAGGCGTATCTGCTCCTTCCACGGTTCCCCCTCGATTGTTGAGATGTGGTGCCGATTGGCCAGAGCAATACTAACACTTGGTTAGTGTTTTATTGAAAGGAGCGAAGCACCTTCCCCTATTGAGCTCGCCCGTCAGGTCCGTGTCGTGGTATTCCCTGCGAGATTGCGTATTGTAGATACAGTGGATGGGCCTTTCGGCGAATCATTGTGTGAAATGATGGGTTTGGATGAAGCACCGATAGCTGCGCTAGCGAACTCGTAATTTCGTCGAGGACACGCATGAGGGCCGCTCTCAACCCAACGCATGCACCATGTACATGCCGTGGTTCTGCTCTCACGCCTACCGTGGATCAACCGCAACAAACGATGACCCTTCGCACATCGCTCTTACTTGTGACACGATCTTCCATAGCTAATTAAATGGCATTGGGCTACAGTTGCTCGATGCGGAAATGGAGGTACGGAGTATCCCACCCTTGTCGTTGTGGCAACCTGTCAGCGTCACCACTACACTCAGCAACCATGGCAAAGAATTAAATCGTGTTACACTCATTCCCACGGTCGAGAACATCGGCGTTCCTGTCCATCACAACTCACGACCGAACCGTGGATGTGATTTGGTAGCTCCAATAGTACCCACAGAGCGTCCGCAAAACCCACCGCGGCTGACCCTCCTAATGTGAGCAACAGCACCATAGCGCCGAGAGCCGTTGACTACGTTGCGTCCAGCCCTGATGCACTCACCTTCTCTCTTAGGCATGGGATCAAAATGAGGTCCGCCCTCTACATTCCGTGAAAGTGCCTGCTGTCAAAAAGACCGGGTGGTGAGTCAAAAGGAATCGTTGCTACTAGGCCTTCTTGTTCATAGTCTCAGGTTGTTTCTGTTGTTATGATGTTGTCTTCACAGCCAAAACCGTTCCGGTCTCTGCTCAGTACCTTCTAACATCCGTACCTGTCCGATTGACGCGGACAGCTTCCGTGATTACGGGCCAACTACCCTAAAAGGGCACACTAGGAATCATACGGAACCAGTAACTGGACTCAGAAAATGATCTAACGCGATCATAGCAGATCGCAAAAACAAATCGGGAGACGAGTCAACCCGGCAAGAGAAATGTACAGAAATGTAGAAAGTAGGTACAGTTCTTCCCAGACCAAAGTAAGAGAGAGAGAGCCCCCCGCTCGGCATGCAATGCCGAGCAATAACACAATGCACAAACATTAAGGATCGAAGGATCACCGATTGAGTTACTACCTAGATGGATGTATCCATGAATCCCTGCAGCACACCTGGGCCGGGATGTATTCGCCGCTGGGGTTACATAGGCCAAGCCAGCCCCGCACGCAGCCGCAAAGCCAATACGTGTGGGAGGTTCTAAAGATCACTCAACCGGAACAACGTAAGAACACACCAAGACAATAATAACAACCCAAGCAGATCGGGGGGGGGGGGGGGGGGGG